AGTAGCTAGGATTACAGGCGTGAGCCACCAGCGCCCGGGTTATAGGTGTGGTCCATTACATCAAGAATCTTCATATTGAGCTAGTTATTACTTTTTAGAGTTCTTATGACTGCATCTACTGTGAATATTCCAGTGAAAGAAGAATATTGGTATTACATGTGTTATTATAATGGGAGGAAATATATAATACCATATTTTGAGATTATTAATGGCCATTAAATTTGTGACTGTTTTTATCTCTAGAGAAGTTTGCATTCAGCTTTCCCTACCAGTTGTAATGAAGAGAATTACTTTTAATATGATATTTTCAAATTTATCCTGAATATATTCTTTCTAAAATGGGAAAGACCACATGCTTTTTTAGTTTTGGGTTATGTTTTTTAAAGTATTTTATAACTTTTGTTTTGCTTATTAACCAGTGTTTATCTAATGTTGACCCATCCTGCTATTGAAGCTAAGCTCATTCCACTTGTGTTATTACAAGTTAGCAAAAATGTACCATTTTTTTGTATAGTTCACTTTAAAAAGTGGTACGTGAAAGCTACTATATTGCCCTCAACCTTTTTATAAACCTAGTAGTTATTTTAAATTTTTTCTGTGGACTACCTTTCTTAATTGATCTGCAGGAAGCAGTTTAAAGTAATTTAAAATATAATGGGCTGAGGCTGAGCATGTTTCAAAACCAGCCTGGACAGGAAAGTCCATGAGACTCTTACCTCCAGTTGCCCACCAAAAAAGCCAAAAGTGGAGACGTGGCTCAAGTGATAGAGTACCAGCCTTGAGTAAAAAAGCTAAGACACAACACCCACACTCTGAGTTCAAGCCTCTGTATTTGTGTGTGCGTGCATGCGCACCCACCCACTCACACACACACAGAGTCCTGATGCATTACATTTAATAATTTTGTTTTATCTTGATAATTTATTAGCAGTAATGGTTTTTATTTAAATTGTGACATTAAATGTTGTTAGAGAACCACTAAGATAGAAATTGGTTATATAAACAATTATTAAGATTTAAGCCAGTGGCTCACACCTATAATTCTAGCTACTCAGGAGGCTGACCTGAGGCTCATAGTTCAAAGCCAGCTCAGGCAGGAAATTCCATGAAACTCTTATCTCCAATAAACCACCAGAAAACTGGAAGCGGCACTGTGGCTCAAGTGGTAGAGCTCTAGCCTTGAGCTGAAGAGCTGAGGGACAGCGCCCAAGCCCAGAGTTCACAACCAAAAAAAAAAAAATTTAAGAAACCTACTTTTAATATTTGAAAGTGAAGGTTTTTAGAAATTACAAAAAGTTTCTTTTGAAGATAGTGCCTTAAATTTTTATTTTAGTCTCCAAAATTTAAATATATCTTAAAGAGAACTAAAATAATAACTTACTTTTTCTTGTAATGGTCTTTGGGTTTAAAGTCAGAGCTGGACTCTATCCTTTAACTTTGTGTTCAAAGCTAGCATTTTATCATCTGAGCTATAGATCACTTCCAGCTTTTTGGTGTTTAATCGGAGGTAAGAGTTTCCAGGACTTTTCTTCCTGAGCTGGCTTTGAACTTCGATCCTCACATCTCAGCTTCCTAAGTATCTAGGATTACAGGCGTGAGCCAGCAGTGCCTGGCTATAACTCACTATTTTTAGATAATAATTTTGACTACTTCAACCTCTGGGAACAATCAAAATAATGTACTGAAATGAAGCCTCAACACCCTACCAGAGTTTGTGTATTTCCCTTTGTTATTATGGTCTTGCTTTTTTTAACATATATTTTTTATTGTAAAGATACTGTACAGAGGAGTTACAGTTACATGAGAAGGTAATAAGTACATTTCTTCTCAAGCATTATTACCCCCTCTGCTTTTTCCCTTCCCTCCCCACATCCCCAGCTCCTCCCTTCTCACACCCCACTCCGAAGTTGTAAAGTTCATTTTCAACATAGTGTCTTGTACATCTTACAGTGGGCCAATCTGTATCCTTGTTTCAGCATTTTGTTATGTCCCTTCCCCAGATTAGAAAATTGTATATACAAGATGCAGGGTACCAAAATCAAATACAGTGAAAACAGGGGTTATACCATGGGGGAAGAACATACAAAAGAATAAAAAGAAATCATATAGTACATTATAAATACTTTAAAAACAACAGCAACAAAGAAAAAAACTTCTTTTGTCCCTATCTTGGGATTCATTTCACTTAGCACCATCTTATATGATTATGTATATAGCTTTTGACCTTTTCTACTTGTCTAGTGTAGGATTATCCTAGACATATACTAGTTATTGCAAATAAGGGAAACCATGGTGGTACCTATGTTTCTTTGGGCCTGGCTTACTTCACTTACTATAATTTTTTCCAAGTCTTTCCATTTCCTAACAAATGGGGCAGTGTCATTCTTTCTGATGGAGGCATATAATTCATATATATATGTATGAATTATATATTATATATATACCACATTTACTTGATCCATTCATCTACTGAGGGGCATCTGGGTTGGTTCCATATCTTAGCTATAGAGAATAATGCTGTGATAAACATAGATGTGCTGGTAGCTTTAGTATGGCCTTGTTTGTGATCGTTTGGGTTAATGCCCAAAAGTAGGATTGCTAGGTCATAGGGGAGCTTTATATGTAGCGTTTTGAGGAACCTTCATACTGCTTTCAAAAGTGGTTGAACGAGTTTACACTTCTACCAACAATGTCTAGCTAGAGCAATAAGACATAGAGCTGCTCCAAAACTGGTCTTGCTTTTTTAAATACACAAGCACATCTCATCATCTTCTTAGAATTGATTAAAAACAGTATGTTGGAAAGCAGCAAGGCCACAAAAGGAGTCTACTGCAGACTGCAGGAAACCACAGAAAATGGCTGATTACAAGAGAGAAGTATAGATTGCAGTTCTATAGAAAGCAGGGAGGAGAGCCAGAAGGTGGGTATAAAGCCTTTTAGCAAAGTAACAAACACAGTGAAAGTCACACATGATTATTTATATTCCTAATGATAATTTAGTGACTAAGAAAAACATAATTTCTTGTTGAAAAAAATGCTGACACTTTTATAGCATTGTTATCCCCCCCCCCGTCCCCTTTACACACACACTTTTTTGGTACTTTAAAGGTACAGAGCTGCTTGGGCACTCTTCTTTAAGGTTTTGTTTATGTGGTTACAAGATGGAGGTGTCCACAGGTGTCTTACGTAAGCGGTAGATATAAAATGATTCTGTTTGTGCTGAAGTAGACAGTGCCCTCAAGTGGAATTCAAGCAAGCACATTCTATTAAAAAAAAAGAGAGAGAGAGAGAGAGAAGTTACCTTTGGCTCTGTCCTCACTAAACATAGTTGTTGCACAGGTAGTTCAGAATACTGGTTTTAGAAGGTGCCCTGCTTAGCCTGTTTGGTAAGCTATGTGGCTCATTTTGGCTTGTCAAAGGACAGACTTGTGAAAGCTTTACTGTGATGGAATACTTCTTACCTAATAATAATTCTTTCTAAGAGAAATACTGTTTTTCTGTGTATGGGTTTTCTGGATTCTTTCATCATTAAGTTAAATGATTAAAAGTTGGGTTCTTTAGTTTTAGGTGTTTTTTTTTTAATTGCAAGCTTAAAGTAGGTAAGTATGATGGTTCTATATCAGTTGCTGCCATCAGCCAAAATAATGGAAGTTGATAGCTCCATCTCAAAGAGGGATGGAATAAGTACTATGTTTAGAAACCAAATAGCTACATTCTTGTGGCTGAGATTACACAGGAGCTATTACTTTCAGCAAAATATTTAATTAAAATAACGAGTTTCTCAATTGGAATGAATGAAATTGTGTAGCTTTTAATCCTAAATTAAAGTAGCCTTGAGGGGGAAGCTACTTAGTTGTGAAAGATTGCTTTTTGTAAAAATGAAAATTTGAAGCTGAAAGAGAATCTTTTGTATATTCTCCTCCTCTTATGTGGTATAAAAACACTTTAGGTTTGTTATAAAGATCAGCATCACTTATATTGCAAATGTATTTGTGTTACATAGTCCCAAGTTATGATGCTATAAAGTGATTTTCAAAAATATCTTTAATATAATCATATTTTAATGCCTGATATTTGATTAGAGAAATTAAATGATAGCTATGATTAATGTGGCTAACATTTGTCTGTCTAAGAACAAAATGTTCAAGATTAAGGAAATGAAATTGAGTCAGAGGTAAAAATGTTCCATCATAAAAATAGAGGTTACATAAATGAGTTGTGGTATAAGTTTCATAATAGGATATTTTTTATTGGTAAAAGAGGTTCAGCACTATAATGTAATTATTAAAATGTATTCAGAAATAATGTCCTTTATTAAAAAGGCTAGATTATTCATGTTTTGCTCAAATATAGCACCTGTTTAAGTTAGTCAGAATCTATTAAAATCATGTTTTTGAAGTTTAATGTCAAACTATATATATGTGGTGTATGTGTGTGTGTGTATGAAGTTAACATCTAACATTTTTTGCTAGATCTGATTTTATCAATTTCAGAACCTTGGAAACAATCATTATTGTATTTATCATTAGATTTCCTTAATTAAATCATCACAGTAGATACAAGTTAGTCCTTTTAGATAGTTTTAGAAATACTTAGTGTATGTATATGTGTGTGTGTCTATCTGTGTATGTATTAATCAAATGAAAAATTTAAATCTTTAACTGTAGTCAAGTTTGCTTTGCTTGTTCAACAAACATTTTGATTTGCTGTCTTTTTACAGCATGGCTACCAAATTGCTAAAAACATGCTTTGGGACTGCCAGTGAGTGTATCTTTTGTGGTCTTACAACAGACTTACTAGTGCTTCCTTTTTCTGAGTTAATGTTCTGAAGTTACTGTCACAATGAGTTCAGGCTTATGGAGCCAAGAAAAAGTCACTTCACCCTACTGGGAAGAGCGGATATTTTATTTGCTTCTTCAAGAATGCAGTGTGACAGACAAACAGACACAAAAGCTGCTTAAAGTGCCGAAGGGGAGTATAGGACAGTACATCCAAGATCGCTCTGTGGGGCATTCAAGGATTTCTTCAGTGAAAGGCAAGAAAAATCAGATTGGATTAAAGATCCTAGAGCAACCTCATGCAGTTCTTTTTGTTGATGAAAAGGATGTTGTAGAAATAAATGAAAAATTCACAGAGTTACTACTGGCAATTACTAACTGTGAGGAGAGGCTCAGCCTGTTTAAAAACAGAAGCCGACTAAGTAAAGGCCTCCAGATAGATGTCGGCTGTCCTGTGAAGGTGCAGCTGAGATCTGGGGAAGAGAAATTTCCAGGAGTCGTGCGCTTCAGAGGACCCTTGTTAGCTGAGAGAACAGTGTCGGGCATATTCTTTGGAGTAGAATTACTGGTAAGTTTGATCAGCCATTTGTGTACCTTGTGTGTATCTACTTATAGGCATACAAATGTATTTATATGCATATCTGTATTTTTCCTCATTAAACACCAAAGTTTTTTCAGAAGTCGTCTGTAACTTTTAAAATTCCTGATCCGTACGATTTACTTTTTGCTGCTGTTGCTGCAGTGGTGGGAATGTACATCAGGGCCTTGTATATACTAAGACCCCAGCCCAGAGTTTACTTTTTAAAGATGCATAGAAAGGATGTAAAGATGATGCTTGAAAATGTTTAAAAACTGCTTACTACAATAAGAATATAACACTTATTGGCTTCCAGGTTTTTTTTTTTTCCTAGTACTGGAGGTTGAGCTCAGAGCCTCATTCTCATTAGGCAGGTGCTCTTATCACTTGAGCCATGCCCCAGCCCTTTTTGCTTTAGTTCTTTTTTGCTATAGTGTCTTGCATTTATTCATAAACCAATCTGGACCTCCATCCTCCTGTTTATACTTCCAATGTAGCTGGAATAAGAGGTGTACACTACTGGTGTCCAGCTATTGGTTCAGATAGGGTCTTGGTAACATTTTGCCCAGGATAGTTTAGGACTTTTGATCTTCTTTGCCTGTATAGCCAGGGTTATAAGTATGAGCTATAATGCCTGACAAATTTTTAGAAATTTTAACATTGTCTATATTATAAGTTAGCACCACCAACTATAATTAATCATATCAAAATTATTCATTACCTTGTGACATTATCAGTTATAGCTTTCTCAGTTCTTTTTTTTTCTTTTTGTTTATGTGGTACTGAGGAATCGAACCCAGGGCCTCATGCATGCAAGGCAAGCGCTCTGCCACTGAGCCACCTTCCCAGCCCCAACTTTCTCAGTTCTTAATGTATGCTATTAATGACAATTTAGATCTAAGGTTTTAAAATAAGTTGCAGTAATTTAACTTGTTGATAATTACCCATGATAATAGATATGAAAATCATCTTAGAAACTATTTGTATTAAATCAGACCCAATATCTTTGTAAATATTTCTAAGATGAATATTAATTCTCAAGAATTGAAATTTCAGTTACTATTTGACATTCTTGATGAATACAGTTACAGGCTTTATTTGCCTCTTGATTCAATATTTCAGTGTTTTCAGTTGTAAAATTATTGAGGATTTGACATTACTAGTTACGTTGTCAGGTTACTTAGCCAGTGTATCTAACTTCTATAAATCTACTTTGTCATCTGTAAAATGATGATAACACGGCACAACTTAAGTGTTTTTGTGAAACATTGATACAGGATTTAGAAAAATGATTGACAAATAGTAAGTACTCAATAAATGGAATTACTTAATTTAAGGTGAAGTGTTATGACAAAAGTAGTGCTAGGATCACTTTGTAGACAGCCCAACTCTTTTTATAGTGGATCTGAGGTTTGAACTTAAGGTTTGTACTTGTTAAGCAGGTACTCTCCTGCTTGAGCCATGCCTCCAAGCCCTAGGTTTTCATTTTAGACTGCCCCTTTCTTTGGAAAGTTTTGTCTTTATGTAGCTTTTATTCACATGACTACATGAGAGTTTCACCATAATTCTATCTTGAATTTAGGCTTAAAAAGTTCCATTTTGAACTATGTTCAAGAAAATGAATCCATGCCTCTGTCCAGTTTTACTCTGGTTATTTATCTAATGGGGTTTTTGCATTTATGCTTTGGTTGCTCTGGACCATAATCCTCCTACTTATACTTCTTGCACAGCTGAGGTGATAGGCCTGTGCCACACTGCCCGGCTTTTTATTGGTTAAGATGAGGGTTTTTTTTTTTTTTCACCTAGGATGACTGTAATACTTCTGACTTCTGTCTCCTAAGTAGCTAGGATTACAGGTATGCATGAGTCACTGTATCTGGTGAATTCAGTCCAACTCTTACCAGAGATTTTTAAATTGATAGGTAATTTTATTTCAGATTCTTCCTTAAACATCTTATATCCAATAACAGCTGTTAATCATTGTATTTCTTACTATAATGAGTCATTTGGAATTTTTCCAAAGTAATTTCCTTGAAACCCCCAGGACATCCTTTTACCTGTGGGTAACCTTTCTATATCAGCCCTACTATTATCATTTTTAAATCTCTCTCTTAAAAACTAGGAAGAAGGCCGTGGTCAAGGTTTCACTGATGGGGTATATCAAGGAAAACAGCTGTTTCAGTGTGAGGAAGATTGTGGAGTGTTCGTTGCATTGGACAAACTAGAAATTATAGAAGATGATGACAACGGGCTGGAAAGTGATTATGCAGGCCCAGTGGACACAATGCAGTCTGAAGTCCCCCCTTTGGAAATAAACTCCAGAGTTTCTTTGAAGGTTGGAGAAACTATAGAATCTGGAACAGTAATATTCTGTGATGTTTTACCAGGAAAAGAGAGCTTAGGATATTTTGTTGGTGTAGACATGGTAAGAAAATTTTGGATTATATTGTCATTGTAAATATATGTATTAATTTTTTTAAATTTAATTTAATTTAATTTTTTTGTGAACATACTGTACAGAAGGGTTACAATTACATGGGCAGGATTATGTGTACATTTCTGTATATATGTATTAATTTTATGATACATTTAGATACAAATTGAATACTTTAAATGCTTGAAATGGACAAATTTTGAATACTTTAAAGAATATGTGATTATTTGTCTTTGGTAGCAGAACATTGAAATGGCACAGGAGTCTAGATACAGAATTACCTTTACTCCTTTTTTTCTGGTTTGAATAAAACCAGAATAATGTTCTCAATCTTGGAAATTTGTCATATTAAAGCTGACAAGTAGACAACAAAACAAAAATAAGAAACAAAACAACAACAAAATCAAATAAACCCCACCAAACCCAAATATATTATGTTATACCTTATTTTTCTTTGTATTGAAAAGTTCTTTTGTAATATGTATTTTTCTTCTTATATATTTTATAAAATTTTATCTACTAATCTGATTCTAATGAGTAATGTTAAAAAATTACAGAAAATACCTTAGTACATTTGGGAAATTTATATTTCTTTTAGGGAATATGATTTTAGGCTATCACTTTTTAAAAATATCTCTTATTGAGGTGAAATATATGTGACATACAGTTTTAACTACTTTGAAATTTGAAATTCAGGAGTATTAAGTACAATATCATTTCAATCTCATAATAATTTTCCTAGAATTTTTTTTATCATTTCAAGCTGAAAACCTCATATTTATTAAGTAAATTCTGCCCATTCTCTCTACTCCATGTTGTTGTTTTTTGTCGGTCATGAGGCTTGAATTCTGGCCCTGGGCACTGTCCCTCAGCTCTTCAACTCAAGGCTAGGGCTCTACCACTTGAGCCATTGTGCCACTTCCAGTTTTCTGAGTAGTTTATTGGAGATAAGAGTCTCATGGCCTTTCCTGCCTGGGCTGGCTTTCAACTATGAGCCTCAGATCTCAATCTCCTGAGTAGCTAGAATTACAGGCCTGTACCCCTGCTACTCTACGTTTTGTCTCTGAATTTGCTAGTGCTAGGTACCTCAGAAAAGTGGAATCATATGGTGCTTGCTCTTTTACTTGTCTTATTTTTAATGTTATATTCATACTTGTTAATAATTCATTGTGGTACATTGAATTATACATGTGGCTTTAGGAGCATGAGAGAAAAAGTATGAGATCATTTTTTATCATAGAAAACACAGGAAAATTTTTGTTAGTTACAAAGTGGGGGAGATTCACACAGAATTGTTAAACATTAGTATGCAAGAGAGGATATAATAATAGACTTGTTTGTATTCATGATGGGGATGGTTTTAATAATTATTTAAATCTATTTAGGATAATCTGAATAGATTGGTAGAGAGTAAGCATTCTAGCATGTTTCTGTTATGTGCTTAGAAATTCCAGAAAATTGTGTTATTTGAGATTTGTAAGGTGCTAAACAAACATTTATTGAGCTGTTACTCTGTGAAGCTGGAGCCAGAGTAAAACATATCTCCCTTGGATTTGCTAACAATCAAGGACTTGCCAATCAAGAATAATCAGTATCTTTAAATCTTAATTCAGTGGCTTAGAGGAGAAATCATAGGCTGGGAAGATGAGAGGTTGGAGAAAGACAGCCACTGGTCATTGGGGCTTGTCTCCTTTTACTTCAGGAGAGCCCTTTAAGCCCAGTCCTATGGCCTGGATTCCATACTTGGCACAAGCTGTTTAGGCTTTACCCTGCTTAGATGGTGACCTAGAAATCATCTTGCTTACCCCTGACAGCATACCTAAAGGTTTGCCCAAAGTTCTTCCCTCTGCTCTGACCTGGCACCATTTGGCTTGTGCAGACGTTTGTTCTAAACACTTCTTATAGACAACTTGAGGGAAGATTCTAGCAAGTGTACCTTTCTTCAGCGCTTGTTTCTAGGGACATTTTAAGCTTATACACATATTGGTGCTCAGGGTAACTGTATGACTGGCTTCTCTACAAACAACACTATACAATTAGTGGTACATGAAATGTTAGGAGAAATAACCATTTTGTAGGAAGTCTTTGTGTAGCCAAGAAATCACAAAAGAGCACTTTGTATGTATGGAAAGAAAGATGTACAATTGACTTAGTGCTCAGGGAATATAAAGGTTTTTTATTTTATTATCAGCTTTTAAGGGCAGGTTTCTACATGAGATAATATATTATTAGCAAATTTTCTCATGAAAACAATGTCTTTTTAAACACCAGATGAGTATTAGTCCAAGACTAGTATTTATTTAGTACTAAATGTTCAGTAAAGGAAACCCATCTTGTTCCTCTATTATTTGCTATAACTTCATTATTCTTGGTACTTAGTTTTCCAAACACAAACAAAAAGCTGAAATAAAAACCCAAAGTCTTGTTACTATGGCAATTATTTCTAACATTTTCTCTCTTTCATTTAGGCAAAATAGTTAAAATTTTCTGATGTAAAATAGTTTGGAAGGTTCTTTTGTAGAAATACAGGCTTTTATATTTAACTTTTATCAAGGAGAATATCAAAGTTTATTATGTAATTTCTAGGATAACCCTATTGGCAACTGGGATGGAAGATTTAATGGAGTACAGCTTTGTAGTTTTGCAAGTGTCGAAAGTACAGTTCTCTTACACATCAATGATATCATCCCAGGTATGTTTTTTATGTTTTATATATTTGTAAAGCAGAGTTTCTAGCACATTTTGTTAATGAAATGTAAATATGCCCTTCAAGATGTATTTTTTGGAATTCAATTTATAGGATTATTATTTAGTAGAATATCCTTTCTTACCCCCAAATGAAAACAGTAAAAATGTGTATTTCCAGAAGTACTTAAGTATGGGGTGATATATATATATATTTTTTTTTTCTTCTCTAATAATCATAGTGGAGAAAAAGCAAGCCTCATGATAATTAGAAGGTTTAGAAAATAATAAACTGCTACCTGATAGAGTAAGAGTTTGTTTTAAGCTGGAAGACATTAAGCAGAAATTGATCACTTCATTGAAGCTAATTAATGCTAGACAGGAATCTTGAATGATCTCAGATCCTTTCTAGTTTGAGATAACCAATAATGCTTCATGATTGTAGTCAGAAACAGATTATGCAGTTTAGTGCTGGGGATGGGATCCAACCCTTGCACATGCTAGGCATACACTTTACTACTAAGCTATTCCCTAGGTCCTGAACGTTACATCTTAAAAAACTTCTAAAAACCTTATTTTGCCTCAAACAAGTAGCTTTCTTTCGATGGCTGCTGTCAGGTAATGGACAGAGTCTTAGCAATAGCAGCATCAATTGTACTATTACTTGCTGTTAGAATCCCCAGTGATAGGCTACACAGGGGAATGGTCCTGGCAGAAAAAGGCTCCTTAATCCTGTAAGAGTACAATAAAGCCAATAGAGATAGTGTTGACATTGAGCTTTCTGTAGCCAGGTATGTGCTAGGCCCTCAGTGAGATGATTTGTACTCACACTGTCTTTTCTGTTTGCTTTGGTGATACTGGATTTTAAATTTATGTCCTTGTTCTAGATTTCTAGCACTTGACCTGTGCCCTCAGTTCTCTCGCTTTTAGTTTATTTTTTTCAAGTAGGGCTTGTACTTTTGTCTGGGCAGGCATCTGTCCACCATCCTACTGCTAGCTTTTAAGTAGTTAGAAGTTCAGGCTTGTACATCACATCCAGCCCTATTTTCATTCTTGACCAACCAAAAAAGGTAGGTTTTAATGATTCCCATTTGATAAGACTCAAATAGGGCTAAGATTGCCTCTGGTCCAAGTAAGTGGTTGAGTCAGAATTCAAATCTAGACCTGTTTTGACTTTCTTTTTAGTACCACCCCTCTCCAAACTCAAAGTTCTATGTGTGCTCAGATGATATAAAAATCTGCATAGAAAACCATACTTTTCAGTTTCTCATATTTGCGAACATTGTTTCCATGGAGATGCATTTTGTCTCTAATTCTATACAAGCTGAATTTTTACAGTAGCAAGGATCACAGATGAACAGGCAGACTAAATTGGTTTTCCTTCTGTGTTACTCCATTACTTGTTACACAGAGCACTGTTCTGTTTCCTACAGGTCATTTCAAACCCCCAGTTTCTTTTGTAAAAATAAAAGATAAACCTTAGGGTTCCTTCTAGACTTCACTGTGTGGCCTTCTTGTTTTCCTGTTGACATGGCAAGTCGTAAATGGTTAGTTTACAACATTAGGAAATGCTTTTTACTTAGCTTCATAGCAAAAGTACATTAATTTAGTTGGAGGTATAGGACTCAAATGATAGCTTTATTTCAGTTTTGCCTTGGAAATTTCTGACCTACTTTGCTTTTCTTGGTTTCTTTTAAAGCCAGCTTTTAATTTCTTGCCAATTGGAGCTCAAGCTGTTTTTTGTTTCCATTTGGAAAGAATTGGTTTATACTCAAGGGAAAGCATACATGTGCTTCATATTTTATTTAGCAGTGGTATTTAATTTACTTTTCCATACCTGTTTGTGGAGCTAACACCATTTATGATTTTATGAATCAAAATTCCTTTTAATATTAGAATGAATGCTATTACTTAAAAAGCATTACTATAATATACAAGAGCCCTTATATAGATTTCTTTTAGGGGATGTACAAAGAAAGGAAGATAAAAAGTCTTTTCACATGGAGCTTTCATTCTAGTGAGTAGAGACAGACAATAAATAAGTAAAATATATGTTCAGTTAGATGGAGATGAAGCTGGAGAATAATAAACAAGGTAAGTGAAAGGGAGAAAAGTGCTGAAGGGTGAGTTTTTTTTTCTATTTGATATTCAGTAGTCCCAGTGAGCCTCTCTAATAAGACATTTGAGCTTATGACATGAAGAAAATTGGGTAATGAGCACACAGATTCCAAGAGAGGGCCCAAGGTTATAGCCAGCTGTTGAAGAATATGAAGAATTCTTTATGATTGTAGCCATCAGTGAGAAAGTGACAGCAGGGAGTGGGAGCTGGCACAGGTAGAGCCAACTGAGCTGTTGGACATGTTTTTGGCTTTTATTCTTAAAGAGATGGAGCCTCAGATGGGTTTTGAGAAAGGGATAGCTTACTTTACTTCCCAGTTTGAAATGATTGGTGTGGCTGTGTTTTAAGAATGTACTGTATATAGGACAGACACAAAGGGCCCTATGAGGGTTTGGTGTAGCTTTCACTGTTGGGTGATGGTCTGATGAAGTGGGTGGAAAGTGAATGGATTTGGGGGATAATTTAAAGAGAAGTAACAAGACTTGTATATGACTTATGTATGGGGTTTGAGTGAGTGAAGAAAGCGGGGAGAGGGGAAAGATTCCATGAAAGTTGGACTGAGTACCTGTTAAGACTGAAATACCTATTAAACAATGTAAATTGACTTTTTACATAAATACTATAAGAATATTTTAATCCTTATAGTGAGTAGTAGTGCTAAAATTTTTCATATTTAAGAAATTTATTATGGATATATTTGTAAAAGGATACATAAAAGCATTTTCCAGATTAAGAAATAAGACATAACTAGTAAGTACACATTTATCTTCTCTTTAGGATTGCAATCTCCTGCCATCAGAAACCACTATTTTGATTTCTTCAGTGACTTTTTTTGTATGATATAGCTTAATTTCTTTCTAAGCCTATATACTATATTGTTTAGCTTTTATTTTCCAATCCTAAGGCTTGAACTCAAGGTCTGGGCACTGTCTCTGAGCCTCTTTGTGCTTAAGGCTAGCACTCTACCACCTGAGCCACAGCACCACTTCCAGCTTTTTCTGAGTAGTTGATTGGAGATAGGAGTCTTATGGACTTTTCTGCCCAGGCTGCCTTCAAACTGTGATCATCAGATCTCAGATTCCTGAGAAGCTAGGGTTACAGGCGCCTAGTTTGTGATATGTTTAACTATTAGCAATGCTAGTCTCCTTTCATCACCATTCTGAATTTTCCCAGACTACGTTGTCTTCTAAGATTTTTTTCCCATTATTGGCATTTGAACCAAGGACTTTTACTTTCTCAACTTGTTTGTTCAATTGGCTAGTACTCTTATCACTTGAACCAAGCATGCAGCCAGTTTTTTTGCTGGTTATTTTGGAGATGGAGTCTCACGGGCTTTTCTGCCTGGGCTGACTTCAAGCTGCCATCCTCCAGATCTCAGCCTCTAGAGTAGCTAGGATTACAGGCGTGTGTAAACTGGTACCTGACTTGTCTTCTAAAAGCACAATAGTTTTATTTGTCTTATTTGAGTTTATGATCTAATTAGATTTGATTTTTATAGGATATGAAGCACAGTTAAAAATACTCAATTTGATCTGCTAGACATGCTACATACAATCTGTTTTCTACATATGATTGTATGGATCTCTAGAATCTGAACTCTGTTCTATTTATATACTAAGGGTTTTTTTTGCCTTCATTATTTCACCTTAGACATCTTTTCAACGATGAGAGTACATTTCTTGTTCTTTGTGTCTTTCTTAATGAGTTTCTTGGCAATTCTTTGCTCTTGGCTCGTCACCAGTAAGCTTAGCTATCAGCTTCTCAAATATTATTAGAGTGTTCAGTTAAGATTGTGATCGGAATTCCAGTTAATTTTTAGGACAATCTGAGGAAAATTGACATTTCTATTATAAAACTAGTAATAATGTATACCTTTTCATTTATTTTCCTTGGTTATTAGTAAAAACATAATTTGTCCCTGAAATGCTTATATTATTGATACAATATAAAGTAAAACATACATTTTTAGTTGTGTTTTACTAATATATAGGAAAAGTTTTTTTTAATATTGCTTCATTAGCCAGGCATGGTATTACATGCCTGTAATCCCAGCACTTAGGAGGCTGATGCAGGAAGATCATGAGTTTGAGGCCAGTCTGGGTTATGTAGTCACACTCTGTCTTAAGGAAGGAAAAGGTTTATTGAGAACTAATTCACATGCTTAACTTCCTCACTTTAAGTGTACAGTTTGATGTACTGTATTTTATTTACAGATATGAGAGGTCAGTTTTAAAACATTTCATCTCCCTGTACAGAGCATGTATTTTTAGCTGTCATCTCCCTAAACCTTGGTGTTTGTCATAAATGATCACTGATCTATTTATTTACTCTCGATGCATTGGTGACTTTTGTTTTATATTCTATTGGCAGTCGTTTGAATATAAATGACTTCTATTTTCTCATATTTATCTTATTAACTTTTAAAGATTGTATTTTCAACAAGGTTGAAAATTTTAATGATTAATTCGTCAAATGTTATTCTGTCATGTCTTCTTTCATTTTGTGACTTCATTAGATATATGCTGTAATCTTTGATGTTGTCCCTTGAGTCCTTGTGGTTCTGTTATTTTTTTCAAATAATTTCTTTCTATTCCTCAGATAAGTTCTGCTATTATGTCTTCAATATTATTGACATTTTCCTTAGTATGTTATATAACTCATCTATCTTAGTTTGTTTCTGTTGCTATTGTAAAATACTTGAGACTGGATACTTTATGAAGAATAGAGCTTTATCTAGCTCATGATAGTCCAAGGTTGAGTATCAGATTGGTTTGACTTCTGGTAAGAGCCTCATAGAAGATGGCTGTTTTATAAACCTTCATATACTATTTCCAACATAAGAATTATGTAGATTAGTAGCCATAGTGATTTTTTAGAACAAGTCAGTT